ATCTGTATTCGTTGAAGAGATTGTGCAGCGTTACAGTGTCCATAAAGGGCCAAATTCTGATCTCATGAATATCAGAGGAACTCAGCGCATTGTTTTCAATTAAAAACGGAAATTCTAGGATAGGGAAAAAAGTGCCCCTAAGTAATTGCAAAATGTGTATTTTTACAACTGAAAGGACTGCAGAGAGGGCTGACTTTTCATACTGAGCCTCAGGATTTACCTTGAGCCAGGCTTTATCCTCTGCCTGGCTGCTCTGCAGTAGCAGTGGCAGCAGGGGCTCCTCCTTGCCGCGGGAGACGCCGGTGAGAGGCAGCGCAGCCATTCCGCCTCTCTGCACCCAGCAGAGTGAGCTCATGGGACCACGGGCCACCCCTGGTGTCTTCCGGGGCTGTGGAGGAAACACAGCCAGCGACGCAGCCTGAAGAAACACTGTGGGCCTTTTACTGAGACTAAAATCCCAACTGCAATGCAAGTTATGATGTCTGAAGGTTACAACTGGCTTTTTGTAGTCAATTTGTAGGTTTTTGTCTCAAGTTGGTGGCTCACAGCCAGCCTGTGACTAATCACTGATTAGTGATCCCAGCCCTCTGGAATGAGCGTTCTCTGCAGACTAGGAATTTTTATTAAGTACTGCAGTGACCCTGCACTTCAAATTGGAGGAGAAGGATGAGGTGGCCAATGCCCTTACTCCTATGACATCATCACTGATGCGCTATTGGCACTTGCTACCCACTTCGCAATTGCTGTGGGAACAGGTCTATGGCTGCACAAGCAGAGGTGTTCCCTTTCGCAAAGGTTTGCCATATTTTTTGTCTTAAATTGTGGAGCAGACTTAACAACTTCTATAACTGTAAAAAGTATTGCTTCCATATTTGTATGCTACAGCATATTGCTGTTAAACATTCAGCTTTGCACTTGTAATGTTTTGGAGAACTAGTTCTCAATAAATAAAAACAATGGGAGGCTGGTATGTTTAAGCTGATTGAGTGTCCTTCAGTGTTGAAATATGTTTGATTTAAGCACAGAAAGATCCACTAATATCTATTTATGACCTATTTTTAGAGTAATTCCAAGCAATTACTATTCATATGATCAAGCATCCAGGCTGAATTCTAGCCAGGCAATAAAGGTAGATTTTTGTAATGCCAGAGAGACTCTTGAGCAGATTTGGAGGAAAATACAAATCAACTGTTAGCATGATAAAGCTGTGCACACACAGTTTCTGGAGCTCTTGAGAATGCACGAAACATTCACACTGGAAAATCAGACATAAACCAGCATAGCAGTGCAGCACTGCTGGCTTTGTCACGTCTGGGGTTCCATGCAGTCACAGTGCAGGGAGAGGCTGGAAACAAGCTCACCCGGCTCTGTTCCCTTCTTTACTCTCAGCAATGAAGTATGTGAGAAATACTCATGCAAAGTTTCCTGCGGAGACATCCGGCAGAGGGAGATGGACAGAGGCACATGCTGGCAAACACTCTTAGAGGTGAATACATGTTCACAAAACTCCTTGCTCTCACACGCTCAAGATCTTCCTTTCCTGTCTTCCCACGTGGACTTTAAACGAGCCGGTCTCCTTTTCCTTCTTTCTCCAATTCTGCTCCTCCTGACACTCCCTCTCCCCCTCAAGTCTGATTTCGGTCTCCATCCTTTCTTTTTCCATTTCAGGAATGTGCTGGGACTAGTGCTGCAGCACAGGGTAGAGCAGCTGGGAGGGAGGGCTGGGCAGGACACCTGCAGCACTCGGTACCCTCTGCCAGATGAGCGCTTCGACATCATACGAGCGCACGGCCCCAGATGAATGCCACACTGACAAATCATTTCTAGAAGGCAGTGGGGGAATGCTTTTGTGTCCAAATGAGGACAATGAATATCAGGATAGGGGAATGGCAGATTAAGAGAGAGAGTGCACAGGAGACCCCTTGTCCTTCTGGAACGGCACCGGGGAGCCAGGCAGGATACCTGAGGGTGCCCAACGGCACCTATGCTTAGACGCCTTGGAAGGAGTCGTAGGTTAACCACTTCACAAAGGAAAGAAGTCCTCAGCACAGTGAAAAATTATGCCCTGCAGTCAACGTTTACCCTTCAGAAAAATTGTTTCAGGCTAAGAAAGTAGAAAGGAAACAGGCAAGGAAACTAATAACCCCGCTTTCATAAAGCATTTATTTTTTTTATTTGAAAACATTATACAGGCATTACATTGCCACAGCCAGTCCATATAGGTGCATGCAAATATCAAAATGGAGAAAGGTTTGTTGAGCTTTTCGATGCAGGATTTGGGGTTGGGATTTTGTTTGCTTGGTTTTGGTTTTGGTTCGTATTTCCATCTGTGGAGTCAAGATTAGTGTGCTTTATTATGGCATTTAGCAATAAAATCCTACCCATGGGGTAAAATTTAAATTTGTAGCTAGCTCAGGAATACTAAATGGTTTTTAAAAAAAGGAAAGAAAACGATACTACACGCTTGTCAAAATGTTAATAGCACAAGTTAGCAATCTCTACACTATACATTGAAACTTCTTCTTATGACACAGTGGTGCAAAATTTTCAATTGCTTGGTCTATCATTGTGTGTTTTGAAACTTTATAGCCGGAACAAAGACAAGGTCTGTCTCCCAGTGAAGGTTTTCTTCCAGTAGCAGAAAATTATGACAGTCTTGCTACGGGCTGCTCAGGGCCAGCAGTGTAATAGAGTTTCAGTTTGTTCAGGCAAGGAGCTACGCAGAGCTAGTGGTGTCCTACACAACACGGAGAGTAGCTGCCAGTTAGAGAGCTGAACCTTTGCTGGTGCGTACTGAGGTCTCGAACTGCAGAAAACAAGCAGGTAGAAGTAACGTTTTCCTTTACTAGACCTCGTTTTTTCAGTCAACACAGTTACTTGTAAAGCTATACTGCTGTTTTCCTTTGAGGTCCGTCCAGCACTAGCACGCTGGTGCCAATCCGAGTATCCACCTTGTTTAACGGGAGACACAGGCAGTGAAGCAGCCCCACTTCGCACATCAGCCTCCTCCTGTGCCAGTAACACAGGGGATGGTGGCCGGGCGCAGAGCGCACGCAGGAACACGCATTTCCATACAACAGAGCCTTTTCAAACAGCCTGGAAAAATTGCTTCAGATGGCACCTCTCAGCCACCCGTGGATCGCGAAACCTTGTGTGTCGTAACTCCCGGGCCAGTTAGCTGGCTGGGAGCTGCCTCCTGCCCAGCTGTTTTGGAGAAGACTCTAACCAACATCTACAAGTTAGTGTCAGAAAAATGAGGAGGGGGAGGCGGGAGGACTACAAACATTTGGCTTAAAAATAAATATTAACAATGAAATTAACCAAAACAATTATGGAAAAGGAAGGAACCGTAAACATGAAAGGAACACACATGTACGCAATCCTCAAGGTTCTCAGACCAACACGGGGACTAATGTTCAGAGAAAGGTATTTAATTGGTATAAAAGGTAGCAAAAAAGACTGAGATGACAAGTGCCCGTCAAGGTGCCTCTGGGTACCTGAGGGAGCCATGGTGGTTGTAACCAGAGCCCCTGCTCCTGGGCAAGGTATGAAACCCACCTCAAGCTGAAGCCCTCCCAGGGCTTGACCCAAGGATGCTTGCTGGCCCCTCTGCATGAGGGCTTCACCTGACCACATGCTTCCCACCTGGACTTCCACCCCACAAGGTAACTTTTCTGTGTGGTTCTAATTTTTTTTCCTTTGAATCTCATCATATTTAGACTTTCCATAATATCCCCAGAATCTGGACTCTGTTTCTCTGTGGGAATATTTTTTTTTTTTTAATCCTCAGTGGTTTAAGGGAAAAAGCTTGGAAATACGAGTGCTAAAATGATTAAACAAACATAAGGCAGGGGAAAAAAATCATACATTTGTTGTGAGTTTAAAACCAAGCCATCTTAACTGAAGTTTTTGGGCATGTTTTGGCAATACTGTGGACACTCGCCTCAGCTGCAGCAGAATTATGGCAGATGGCCTAAACACAGTGGGACAGAAATCACCACTCCTTCTCCTTCACAGCAAGAATCAGATACAACATACTTCTGCTGTTCAATAGCGTTTTGGCATTTTCCATTTCATGTATATTATGCATACATTCTTCTCCCAGCCTGCTTCAGGGAAGTCCCTTCTATATTAAAGCAGAACAGCACTATAAAAGATGAATGTCACCTCAGCAGAAATTCATCCTGCCTGGTTGAACTGTGTGGCCTTTCTAATCTCCAGAGTACAGATTGATTTTTTTTTTTCTTTTTTAAATAGAAATAGGTGAGTTGTATTTTTCAAACATGAAACTACATTCTCTCGCTTGAGACAGACTTCTTCAGCAGAATAACATTAAAATCAAATTCACCTTCTATGCCCACAAGCAAAATATTCATCAACCCTGTCGTAAACTCCATTTTCAAATATAATGAATGTATACATGCTTTTACAGCGCTATTGTGTACTTCTTAAACTCCTTCCTTCTGAAGATCCTGAAGCATTTTAAAATAACCTGGTCCCGTAGCACCTCTGTGAGGTAGGTAAAATACCACTTTTCTCATATATACAGATTGGGAAACAGCCACACAGAAGGTAAATCATGCCCAAGATTACACAGAGATGTGGCAGATCTGTAAATAAAACCAAGCTCTCCTCTGTTAGACAGAAAATAATCTCTCCTTCCTTAATTTTAAATTAAAAATAGATGACGGATGTTGAAATAATTACTTCCTTTTATTGGGTTCTCAGAAGAGCAAACATAAAGGCAGAGATGGATTTTTCCTGGTGGTGACTAGGATTTCCCCCATTCTGATAAGGCTCCTGGAGCAGAAGTACTGTTGTGGAGCACCCCTTACTGTTTTCACATGTCCCCAGGGATGTAAGAAAACTGCTGAATTCTTCTGCTAGTTTTGTAGTTAATGAAAAATAACTGGCTGTGTCCTGCCGGTACGAATGCCTTTGCGCCACTGCAGCAACACCAGCAGATGGTCCGGTCTTTCTGCTCATGAATTCCTCACTTAATCTTCCTGATTTTTACAACGTATAGGTTTTGGTGAAAAACTGACACATTTCTACATAGCTATTGTTAAAATAATGAACCACGGGAGACTAAGCAAACTGGAACAGCAGAAGGCGCCCTCGATGCACTGAGTATCTAAAATAAGTGCCCTGATCCACATGATAGGTCATCTTACCGTGGAGAGGTACAATACAAAGGAAACTAGAAAATGCATTTTTCTTTTTACAGATTAAAGTTTAAAAAGTAAGAAATCTGTGTTAGTCACGACTACAGAGAAATTAACTCCCTGTCACTTGATGCAGAACCTCAGCCGCTAGGAAATCTGCCATGGATCATGGAGAGGTCAATGCTTGAGTACTTCACTTCTGCAAATATAGAAAGGCTAAAATGCTTGCCTTATACCTATTCCTAGAATAGAGACGGATATTGTAAGTTGTCCCTCCTCTGGACTCATGGAACAGATTACCTAGAAAGGGCAACTAGACAGATGGCACAGATGAATTCGTTGTCTTTCCCTCTCCAAATCCACGGTGCTGGCAAAAATGTGTCAGGGTGTCACTACCACGAGTAACCCATCTATTTTGTGCAAACAAACAAATCTTAGAGAGAAATTAACAGTGACTGCACAACTGTATTTGCTGTAAAAAGGCGGCTTTTCCACAACCGGTGTGGCTTAGGCATAATATCACTCAGTAGGTGCAGAAACACCCTTCTATGAATTTCTTTTTGAAATCTCAACTTACATATTGAATATCTTTCACAGGTTAGTTTGACATTAACAGATTGATATACAGCAGTTTGTATTGCAAACATGCTGCTCATATCATAAACGAGGGACTGGCATCTCCTTGCAATGAACACCCTGGAACAATTAATTTGTATTTTTATGAGCTTTCCTTATTTGCTACCTTGCAGCTCACCGGTGTAACTGCACCTGGTAAATACCTTTCTCTATGTACAATACAGAGATAATGGATATACGAGCTCCACTGAATCACCAGTAGGTGATCAACAGCTCTGGGTTTAAGCAACTCTAACGTGAGGCTCCTCTTCCGTCTCCTGCCCCAGGCTGGTGTACGTTACCGAAGGCTCCAGCTGGCCGGTGGCTGGCAGGTCTACAACAGGTCCTGAAGGGTTTCGAAACTGCTTGTACACCCGAGGATCCTGGGCTATGTAGGTGGACGTGGAGGAGTAGAGCACCAGCCCAACAAGGATAGTGAAGAATGACAACAAGTAAAGTCCTGAAAACTAAGCAGAAATAAGAGTAGAGTCATTAGACAGAGTAGAGTCATTAGACACAGCACCAGTTATCCCGAGCTCAGGAAGACCCACAGACAGGGGTAGGCCCAGATCCTTCTTTTGGCACGCACCACACTGAACAAGCCTCCCATCACTGGGATGTTGACTTTTTATGGGAATGTCTCATTGAAAGTTATTTGTTCCCATCAACTCCCCTGTTTTCCATAACCAACAGCTAACCGGTGCCTGTCCATGGCCCAAGCATATTAAGTATTGGTCAGGTGGGACTTGGGAAAGCTAGGTTGTGGTCATGGATCCAAAGCTGATTTTGTCCTGCTTTTAGACAAGCCAACTAATTCTCTGAGTACAAGTTTCTCTAGCTCTGGTGTGGAGTACCATCATCTACAATTGTCTGACAGGTAGTGGGCAAATCTGAAGTTAATTCCAGCTAAATCACATGTCTGTGAAGTATAACTTGCTGTTGGCAATATAAAAATATCATTAAATAAACATATAAATAAGCATTTAAAACATACATATTTTAAAAAATATCTATTTTACTAAAGGCACTTAAAAAGCCCACCTGCAGCTTCTCTTGCTAGTAAAAAGAAAGCAGATGCTAGAAGATTTACTGTTAGTTTGGATAGGATGAACTTCAGAAGCGAATCATGCTCTAGGTTGACCTCGAGAGGTTTGAAAGTACGCACGGAGGGCAGTTAACTGAAAGCTCAAGTACGCATATTTTGGCACAGAGCTCCACTAGATCAGAGGTCAGCCTGAATTTTCTGACATATCTAGACTCAGTGTGCCTGAACTAAAAATACAACGCAAATAACTTTTTTGGCAATACGTTAGTCCTTGCAGATAAAGGTAAAGGCAAAGGCAGGGGTTCGAAAGCACAGACCACTGGATATTAGCTTTAGATACTCAGTTCCTGCTATAGGGGACATAAAAATGGCTTTAAACCCGTATGACTTGTCTCCTGACCCTAGACTACAGGTTATTTCTTCTTGCATGCTGTGTGTGAGAAGCCATGAAGGACAAACGGCATAGCTGACTTGATACAGAATTGATTTGTGTTCAGTGGGACTTTAGAAAGTGCCTGTGTTCTGCGGCTGTCAGGGATTCCTACTTGAACACCAACAACTAGCTGCAACCTGTTATTAGCTGCTTCATGAGGTACGGCACTATTCTACATAAAGGTGCCTGCAGGTTTGGTTTTTAATCCTAACTGACTATGCTTTGATGGATGCTCAATTTGTTTCCTCTGGATCACTTCAGCACAGCACAAAATGGATAGATCAGACTATATTATCTTGCAAACTTTTGAGCAATTCTGCTTTTTATATTTAAAGAAATAATTATTGTGGAGAAAACAAATTTTACTTAAGCTAACTTTGTAGTGACATTTATTTGTTGCCATTTAATAAACATACAAAACCTGTGTCCAACTTCCCACCTGAGGAAGCATTTGGCTTTTTTATAGAATTCACAGTATCTTTGAAAGCTTTGGACGTGTAACCCATGGCGATATAGCTGTATGTGTTTTTGTTTCGCACAGCTAGTATGCACATTTTAGAGGGAAAGAACCATAATGGGGAAAGTTTAAAGTGTATCAGAAGGCTTATAGGGTAGGAAGAATTCTGCTTTTCATCAGTTGTTAATTGCTTTTTTCTAGGAATGTCACCAGGTCTTCACGTGTTACCTGGCAGTATGATTCGATGTAATCATCCAGTTGTCCCACCAGCCACAAAGACAGTATCGAGCCTCACCCTGCGTCCGCTGAAGGATTCCTCCCATGACACAGCTCTGAGGACTGTTTAGGCCTAGATCTCCCCCAAGTGGCAATCAAACCCAAGTCAACTGTTTCAAAGCATTTTCCGATTGATTTTTTTCCCTATTTTCAGTCCAATTTTGTTCTCAGCACTTTCCCCCCACCCACGTCCTCTTTGCATGTGAACTTGGGTACCATTTCACAGCAGTGGTCTTAACTAAGCTGAAGAAGCAAAGCTCAGGAGCCAAATGCATCTAGTTTCCCAAACTGGGAACTAGCTCCCTAGTTTCCCACTGTCCCTCCTTCCCACCTTATGCTTGAATTTGTCACCCGGACAGCCAGCTGCCTTGCTCCACTGTATAACCAATGCGCCAGCCAGACTTGTGATTATCTTATGTCCTGCTGTGAGGAACCTGTGGGTCTTCCAGCAGCTAAATGTGCCTTTTTTCCTTCTCTAGGATCTGCCCAGCCAAAACCAATTCATTTTCGCTTTAGGTCGTGGCTCCAACTCTACCATATCCCCTTCCTCCTGGCCATGCCTCTCATTCCTTTCTCAGCAGCTTCCTGCCGGTGGGCTCTTTCACCCGATAATATTCTCTCCATGGCAGTGTTCTTCCCAGTGGCAGCTCTCCAGCCTGGGAGAAAGGGTTTGGATGAAGCTGGAGGAAATCTAAGCAAAGGCCTGTGAATCATTTGTCTTTGGTATCTACGCACAGCTAGTGCAGAGACCTGGATCCTGACAGTCTTATAACAATATCCATCTTTACTTTCCTTAGGAACAAGTTATGGGTCGGGCTGAATTGTTTTCTGCAGCAGCTCTCTGCAGCACTAGAGTAGAAGGGTTGTCAGTAAGGTTAATATAGGAATATATACTGTAGGTTTATGAGAAATCTCTGGGTTTTGTCAACACTCTGTCAGATTAACCAAAGCCCCTTGAAATCAATGAGCATTTTCCTTCTATTAAAACGGCAGAGAATCCAGCAGTGTGATGGGAGGATGCAGTCTTAGTTCATCAAATACAACATTTGTTGTTCACTGTACCGTGAACTTCCTCAGACTCTAGCTGAAATCTCTGAATTTTATTGAAGATAGAATTTCCAGGCACGCTCTATTGCTATGTCTACAAGCAGGTTTTTGAGTTTTTTTTATCTTGACCTGCAAACCTCATCTGCTGAGATTCACTATTAATAGACAGCAAAAGAGACACATTCAAAGCCAGCAGAAAGAGCTACTCCTAATAAGTGAAGTGACAGAAGATCATTTTTCATTGCTACCCTCTACACAACTGCTGTACCAAACTGCAGGCTCTCAGAAAGTGTGTAATCCTCACTTCGGCTAAAAAGCTACTTGAGAATGATATTGTGCTTCATTTTTCCAACTTATCTCTCACTTTCTACAGAAACGTATTTCCTCTAAGAAAAAATATTTCAAAAATATCCAGATTAGTACATCTCTCCAAATCCCACCCCCCTCCATGCTAAACAGATAACTGTAAGGTGTTCAAATATAATAATGTAATATGGTCAGGAATTGTTTAGCTCAGATTAGCCATTGGGTGTCATACACCATAAAGTAAGTAACCAAAAAAACCCCCTCATATTCCTGTATTATTAAATAATTTTACTATAGATTTTATATCTACACAAATAGGTACATATGTACATAAGCTTGCTTACCCTGTAGTTAATTGAGAGACCAGATGACTTTGTGATTAAATCAATGATCTTACACTCTCTAGTCCTGGGATTGATTTCCAGCCTATGAATTTCTTCTGTGGATTAAATTATTTTAGATGATCCTCAGTTTCTTACCCTTTTCAAAGAGACAGTAACACTTGGTTACTGAGTAGAGATGGGTTTACAGAATAAAAATGGGGAAACAGGGATACCATCCTTTGAGGAGAAGGCAGAAACCTCCTTTGCAGAGAAAAACTAAGTGTCTTAGTAACAATAACATTTCAGATTTCATCACTGACATGAAAGACATCTGCCAAAACTTACTGAGTAGTCAAACCAAATAATTAAATCAGCCCTACAGACCTCACACTGGCGGCTGCGCTCTGACATCTGGGTGTCTCTAACAGCTTTCCCAACCAAAAGTATTTAATACAGAGCACACAATGATATTTACAAACATTAAAAAATTAGCAAAACTTAAAAAAATGCCTTCTCTAGACATTATTTAGTACCTGTGGAGCAAATAGCTTAGATGCCTGTCAGTTTGAAGATAAACATACAAAGCAAAACATAGACAAATGTAACAAGATAACACGTACAACAAGATTTCCTCAGTCTATCAAAACTCACATTGATTCCAGGTGAGTGGAAGTTTCTGGTATTTATGTATGACCCAGTACTTGAATGCATTAACCCAGCCAGGCTTAGCAGAAGAGCTAATGGCATCTGATGGCTTAGCTGCAGGAGCAGGGGGCTCACTCCTTGCTCCGACATGTGCTACTGCAGAACCCCCCCCTGAAAACCACTGCAGCAGTAAAGGTCTAGTGGACCACAGAAAATGTATGATGAAATCAGCCTGACTTTCTCTTATCCACACACAAATTCTTCTACATGAAAAAAGAATAGAACCTAAACATATCTGTAGTGTTGTTTTTGTGTGATTTTTTTTTTAAAGATATCTTACAACAGTGCTACATATAATTGTGGATGAAATTTACAAAATCCGTTTGAAATTTAGCTTATATACAGTATTTCTGTTCCAAGTGAATAAAAATTAAGCAAAGAACTGTATAAAGGCATCTGAAAACTTAAGATTTTTAAAAATCCAGAATGAATTATTAAACCTTTCAAAATTTACTCCCCACTAGTTCTTATGCCCTACTTCTGATTATCAATCCATGCAAAACTTGTCTTTCAAATATCCTTAAACCATTATAGCTAAAACACTACTACTATTTCCACCAGACATTCTTGTGCTTTGAAGTAATCCAGTTGAAAAGACAGGTGTAAAAAAAACTTCTTGATGGGGAGAAAACGCTGCATCCAATTTCATTGTCTTGCATAGTGTCAAGAAGATGACAGTAGAAGAAAAAAATAAAGAAAAACTCTTCAGAAGGCAGTAAATTCACACCTGGGTCTGGAGAGAGCGAGTCGTTCTTCAGTATACAGACCAGGAATTTAGAAGGGAAAGCAGGAAAAAGGGGCACAGGAGTATCGCTGTATCACAGCTAGGAAACGCTGCACTGACTGATTACAGATGGAATTTGCAGACAAGTAGT